AAAAAAAAAGGGGAGTTTTTTTAAGTTTTTTTTTGTCATATTAATATTTTTTACCAAATTATTATTTTTTTCCATGTCACCATTTGTTTACCATGTTGTCTTGCACGTATTTTGACATGTCATAGTGTCACCGTGAATTAATAGGACACATCATGCATTTTTAATGGTAGGGACCAAATTAGGGTTAAAATGGTAAATAGTAGGGACCAAATCATGGATTTTTTGAGTTAAGGGACTCAATCGGGAGTCTGTACAATAGTTGAGAGACCAAAAAGGATGTTTAACCTAATACAAATAAGTTTAGACAACTAATGCATAAAGCATATTTAACTCTTAAAGCATATTTAATTGGTTCAACAATGACATACTTTTTATAATTTTTAAAATATGATAAATTAAATTTGATATTTTAAAATGATTCATATATTTTTTCACTTTGAATGTTCCTATAAAGTTTTCCTATGAGCTACTACATGTATATATTCATTTTTATTGCCTAAGTGTTTGAGAATATAATTATGGAAAGAAGATTTCAAGAGAATAAAAATTTAAAAGTAACAACTTAAATTGAAATCAAAATCCTTACATTCTTTCTTAAAAAAATAAAGTTTAAAATGTAAAAAGTAACAGTAAAGATACAAAAAAGAAAAGAAAAGGTAAATATATTCAATTTAAATACATATTTTAACATATTGGCATATAATAATTAGTAAAATAATAGCCAAAACCACTCAATATTTTCCTTGCCACCATCCTTGTATTGCCTATATATTTTCGAACATACAAAACATTGTCCTGCCGTTCATATATGTAACTTGCAAAAATCTCACCAATAATGCCTCTTACATCAAATAGAGTAGAAAATTTTCAATAGCCTCTATAGAAAGATATTGCCCACCAACTTTTACAAAACAATGAAATTGAATGAGTTCAAAATCATGTAGTAATTTTAAAAGCAATAATTTAAATGTTTCATAATGAAAATGCAGTAGACATACATAAAAATAATGCATGTTAGTTAAATATAATGATAAAATAATAGATAAAGAATGTGCCTAATATTGCTTCTCCTAAAAAAGATCATGTCAAAATTCCAATAGTAGCATCTAAAGATTTAGCGTCATTTGTGGTTGCATTGATGAGCTCAGCTTCTGCTGCTTCTTCAAGTTTATCACCCTTCTTAGTTGCAAAAAGTATACAAATTTTGGGATGTTGTTATCATGGTAAAAATTACAGAGTGAAATGAATTGTTGAATTTAAACTACCAATACATATTTTTTTTTCTTTCTTCCCTACAGGCTTGATTTTAATCGAGTTTACCTTTCTTTTTCTTCTCATCCCCTTTCTTCTTTGTCTTCGTACTCAAAGCTAACCAAGCTTTGATTTCTAAATCATCTATTATCTTGGTTGGCTGCAGCTCCTATAGAGAGTGTGATGTGATCCGCCGATTTGATCCATTTGGCATTAGTAAGACTATGAATTTTATATGAGCAATGGAATCACTTGAAAAATTACAAAAGAAAATGAGTCAACTCAATAGATAAAGCACTTGAAAAATATAGATGGTAAAAGAAAAAAAGAAATTAAAAATAAAACAATAGAGGGTAAAGAAGGATGATTATATTGTTTACTTTGCAGACCATTTGAATAGCACTTAAAGCTGCTATGTTTAAATGATGGGTAGCATGGTCAGCAATTGATGATATTTGATTGGATTCCAAAGGAGTACAGGATGTCTCAAAACTGGACAATTTATGTGGACGCTTCCTCTCTCTACTTATTCCAATAATATCTCTAAAAAAAAAAAAAAATTCATGCTATAGATTGTATGCAAGAACCAACACAATGCTTGAAATCTATGTTTGCAGGAAAGGATGTACATAAAAGGTAGAGGAAATGAAATCTGAGCTTCTAATGTCATGGTAATTTTGTATATGCACTAATACAAAGTTGTAAGTGTACATAAGTTGGGTACCACTTGTACCCATTAATAAAATTATTTTGATTGTTATAGAAAAAAGAAAAAAAAAAAAGGAGAATTGAAATAGCATCACAAAATGAATGAGCCAATACTTGGACTTCACTATTAGGTGAAAACTCTTCTAAAATATGAAACCTATAGCAAGAATTCCTTAGGACCTACATCAACAAAAACCAATCAACTCAATTATATTAATAAGAAAAAATAAATTAAGAGCTTTCTAAAAGATAAGTTAATTGGGAGGTGTTAACAATTTAATTCTCTTACCTATGCCAATCTATGGAAAACTTTTTTAAGGGAATCTAAGAAAAAGAAATTCTCCAATTTCTTCCTCTTCAAAGGAGATTGATGAAGAGGTCTAAGGGAATCTAAGAAAAAAAATGATGTGGAGAGTTAATAAGCCAATTATAAAAAAAATAAAAATGAGTTTATTTTCAAAACTATATGTAGAAGTTACCTTGTTTTTTCATATCCACCCCGGAATGAAAGTTAGATTTTCTAATTGGAGGGAACTTGGTAGAGGATGAAATTGAATTCTCACTTGAATTTAAATTGAGCACTACAGATATTAAAAGAATAAAAGAAATTAAGAATACAACAATAAAGGATAAAGAAGGATGATTATATTGTTTACTTTGCAAACCATTCCAACTTTCACTTAAAGTTGCTCTATTTAAAGGATGGGTAGCATGGTTAGCAATTGATGATATTTGATTGGATTCCAAAGGAGTATAGGACGTCTCAAGATTGGACAATTTATGAGGACATTTTTGATCCATGATATATCTTCTTCTTAGTCTTGCTTCCTTTTTTTATTGTTCATCCCTAAGAAAATCAAACACAAAAAAATGCAAACGAAAATGAAGAAAAGGATCCAAACAAAAAGACAATAAAGGAAATGAACATAAAAAGTTAAAAAGACACACATGTCTACTGCAAATGAAAGAAGGAAATTAGTATGAAAAGCAATCAAAAGATGAACCACAATAATGAGGAATTCTTCTAAGACATGAAGAGTTCGGCAAAAAAAAAAAAAATGGAGAGTTCGGCCAGAGAAAGAAAAGAGAGAAAAAAAGAAGAAGAAGATGGTGAGTCATTTTCAAAAGCAATTAAAGTGGATAAATTTAGCAACTTACAATAAAGTTATCTGGTTTCAGTCCATGGATAGTTTTTCACAGATGGATT